TCTCCAGACTGTGGTACCACTCGAATTGAGCGCCACCCACAGTGGAGAAAGCAGGCTGCACCTGCCTACATATAGTTACATAGTTAGTCTGGCTGAAAAAGACAAAAGTCCATCCAGTTCAACCATTAAAAAAAAAAGTTATAATCCTATGCCCACAGTTGATCCAGAGGAAGGCAAAAAAACCCCCCAGCAAAACATGATCCAATTTGCTCCTGCAGGGAAAAAAATTCCTTCCTGATCCCCCGGGAGGCAATCGAATATTTCCTGGATCAACTGTACCTATAAATGTTAGTATCCACTTATATTCTGTGTATCTAAGAAAGAATCCAGGCCTTTTTTAAAGCAATTCACTGAGCTGGCCAGAACCAACTCTTGAGGGAGTCTATTACACATTTTCACAGCTCTCACTGTGAAGAAGCCTTTCCGTGTTTGGAGATTAAATGTCTTTTCCTCCAGACGTAAAGAGTGCCCCCTTGTCCTCTGTGATGATCTCAGGGTGAATAGCTCTACACTGAGTTCACTATATGAACCACCAATGATTTATACATGTTGATCATATCCCCCCTTATGTATTATACATGGATCATATCCCCCCTTAATCTCCTCTTCTCAAGAGAGAATAAATTCAGTTCCTCTAATCTTTCCTCATAGCTGAGCTCCTCCATGCCTCTTATCATTTTGGTTGCCCTTCTCTGTACTTTCCCCAGTTCCCCAATGTTCTTTTTGTGAATTGGTGCCCAAAGCTGAACTGCATATTACAGATGAGGTCTTACTAATGATTTGTACTGGGGTAATATGATATCTCTCTCTCTGGAGTCTATACCTCTTTTAATACAAGAGAGGATTTTGCTCGCTTTAGAAACCGCAGCTTGGCATTGCATGCCATTATTAAGCTTGTGATCTACCGGAACTCCCAGATCCTTCTCCACCATTGATTCCCCCAGTTGTACCCCCCCCCAGTATGTATGATGCATGCATATTCTTAGCCCCCAAGTGTATAACCTTACATTTATCAACATTAAACCTCATTTGCCACATAGTTGCCCAATTAAACAGTGCATTGAGGTCGGCTTGTAAGTTGAAACAGCTTGGTGTCATCTTCAAAGACTGAAATGGTATTTTTAATCCCAGACCCTATATTTTTATAAATATATAAAAAAGTAAAGGTCCCAACACTGAACCTTGGGGTATACCACTGACAACCCTAGACCATTCAGAGTACGAATCATTAACCACTACTCTCTGAATATGATCTTTTAGCCAGTTTTCTATCCATTTATATACAGATTTTTCCATGCCCGTAGACTTTACCTTACACATTAGCCATGTGTGGGGAACTGTGTTAAAAGCTTTTGCACAATCCAAGTATTCCACGTCCACCGCCACCCCTCTGTCCAAGTATACCACGTCCACCGCCACCCCTCTGTCCAAGTATACCACGTCCACCGCCACAACTCTGTCCAAGGTTTTGCTCACCTCCTCATAAAAAGAAATCCGATTTGTTTGACAACTTCTGTCTTTCATCAATCCATGCTGTCTGTTGCTTAAAATATTTTTTTTCCAGCAAGAACTCATCTATGTGGTCTTTTATTAAACTCTCCAGTATCTTCCTAACTATAGAAGTTAAACTAACAGGTCTATAATTACTTGGTAAAGATTTTGACCCCTTTTTAAATATTGGCACAACATTGGCCTTACGCCAATCCAGTGTTGCTATGCCAGTCATTAAAGAGTCCCTAAAAATTAGAAACAATGGCTTTGAAATGACAGAGCTCAATTCTTTAAGGACCTGTGGGTGTATGCCAATTGGTCCAGGTGCTTTATTCACCTTTATTCTGTCTAAATATTTTTGGATCATATCAATTGTGAGCCAATGTGGATCATCTGGAGAGCCAATGTGGATCTGGTCAATACCATGCCCATTAAGGACAAGAGCTCCCCCATGCTCCTTTGTATACACAGAGCTGAAGAAGGCATTTAATAAATTTGCCTTCTCTCTGTCCCCAGTCACCCACTCTAGATTATTCTGTAAAGGGCCTACATGCTCGGACTTTTTATATATATTTGAAGAATTTTTAGGGGGTTGGTCCTGCTATCTTTTGCAATCTGTCGTTCGCTTTTAATTTTTGCTGCCTTTATTTCCTTTTTGCATATTCTGTTATATTCTTCATAATGTTTAAACGATGACAGCGTTCCTTCATTTTTATATTTGATAAAAGCGCTTTTCTTATTATCTATAGGTCTGTTTTTTAGCCTTTTAAACTTGTTGCCCATGGTAATATATTTGCAGTGTGTTCACATACAGTCTTTTCGAAGAACTCCCATTTCTGTGTTGTGTTCATTGATGCCAATATTCCCTCCCGGTCTAAGTCTTGAAGAGCAGCTCTCAGCCTTGGAAAGTTAGCTTAAAATTTAGTTTTTTTCTTTCCCATATGTGCTTGCTGTTTACAGCTCACAATAAATGAAATCATGTTATGGTCACTTCTACCCAGATGTTCTTCCATATGGACATTCTTAAGAAGCTCTGAATGGTTTCACATTACCAGGTCCAGCAGAGCATCATTCCTAGTTGGGGCCTCTATGAACTGTACCATAAAATTGTCCTGTAGTAAGTTTTAAAATGTTTGCCCTTTAACTCTTCCTACAGTACCATTACTCCAGTCAATTTCTGGGTAGTTGAAATCCCCCATTATTATCACTGTCCCAGCCCTTGCAGCCCTTTCAATCTGTGCAAGGAGCTGAGTCTCCACCTCCTCATTAACACTGTGAGGCCTATAACAAACTCCAATTATTTCCTTTGTAGTACGCACCCCCATGTGCAGTTCCCTCTATAGGTTCATAGTTAGTAGGTAACTGGGCCTCTTTATATATCTAGCTGAAAGGCTTTACGATCAGTGGTGGGGGACTGGAGCCAGACTTTGGAGATTGGAGCAGAAGTGATGTAAACGCCCAGATGTGCCAAGCTGATGGACTCCCCCATGAGTTTCCATAGAAAGAATAGCTTTCTTCCACGTGTTAGAAGCTGAGAGCTTGTTCATTAGCCAGGCATAGCTCCAAATAGGCTGTGCGTGCCCCACTTATGCAGATTGAGAAGGTGAACTTAAAGCTGAACTCTACAATAGTCACAAAGCATATACAGTAAATTCACTTTTTGTGCACCATATACATTTGCTAACCCAGTCATTACCTTGTAAATGAAGCACTGTGCTTACCCATTTAGAATGGTTTGAACATGACTGTATGCTTTTTGAAAACTGCTGGAAATATGTCTTCCTATGCTCCATGTATGAATGGAAAATACAGAATGGTGCATGGTGACATAAATATTCTTGGAGTTCCTCTTGCTGCTGGAGGGGAGAGGACCAGGCAGCTATTGTAATGTATTGACAATGCACAAGTCCATTAGTGCATAGCCACCAGAAATGGCTCAAGAAAGATAAACTCTGTTTAGTAATGGAGCCAGAGGGGAGCAGAAAGAAAGGAAACCAAATGTAATCCTGCTTCAAATGCTTGTCCTCCACATTTGCTTGAAGGGTCAGCTAATGCTAGGGGCTAACCAAGTGTCCCCATGGGATTTGTCACCCTCTACAACCAATCTTTACTTTCCTTCCTGTATGGTCTTCCACGGATCACAGCTTGAATTTTAGCTTTTAGCTGGGACCTCAATGTCTTCTTAGGGGCATCTCCATCAGTTCTGCCCCAGGGGCACAGCCCCTGCACGGGGGTCTCCTCCAGTTCCTGTAACCGGGAACTGTGCTGCTCCTAACTCAGGCCCAAGACTATTTATGGGCTTTCCGACCACCTACTGGGCACATCTCCCCAGAGATTGGCTGGCTCCCCGTAAATATTCAGGCTGCTCACTCTGTTCTTCCTCCCAATAAACTTCTAGAATACAGGGGGAAGCAATCAGCACCGTGTGAGACACTGAGCAGGTCTGAAAATCAACCCCTGCTCCACTGATTACAGAGGAGTTAACTAAATTTACCTAACAATCTATATAACTCTAGGAGGGTGCTACATAAACGTTCTCCACTTTATAAAAACTAAAAAATTGGGATGAAGTTACATTTTAAACTGCATCTTTTTCAGAGATAGTATTATATTCACTTAATTTGCGGCCCAGCATATACTCACCTTTCATCATATATAAGTACCTGGAATAAATAAAATAAATAATAAATCATCAAGGGTCCATGCTATCACGTGGATGAAGGGGATTGAGTTACATTCTCTTTCAGGCTGGGCGGAGCAGTTAAAGATAGGTGAGTATGTGCTGTTGTTCAGTGAAGGATAGGTATACAGTATATGCTGTTGGGCTGTGAAGGATAAATGAGTACATGTCGTTGGGTAGTGGGGAAGTTATGTGAACTTGTAAACCCCAATTCCATTGATTGTACTCATTTAGATGGTTGCTGAAACTGTTATGAAAAAGGGGAAACTTTACTATACTGAACAAAGCAATATGTCAGTAAGGTGTGATGGCATCACCATTGCAGTATCATGACTGCAAATTTTATGAAATTGGAAATTATAAAGGCTTGTTGAGCTTTTCTCTTAAACATTCATTGGGCCTTATAATGGTGGTACAATAGTATCTGATCTTATACAACACATGAACCCTTTATTAGCAAGCATGGAAAAAAAGTCAAAATGATGTGAAGTAATTCATACTTTATTTGATAATTTAAAACACACATTATTCAGGTTAAACATAGCCATAGGAGAAGCATTTAGGTAGTATAGATGTATGTTACACTATGTGATTTTATTTATAATTAAGATGATCCACGGGACAGGGAATAAAACACGTCTACAGCAGCTGGGCCGTGGACATAGCCAAGGTGTGCTGCATGGCATTCTGGGAACTATACTCTTGTCAAGCAGCACAAGATTACCACAATAGGCCAGACTAAGATCTGCTTGAAGGGGTATATCCTAACATTACGTGCTGGGAACACGGAAATACCTATAGAATCTAAATGATAAATAACCTCATATTGTCAAACTGATGGTGCTGCTGCTGATGCTGATTCTGATGTTGAATTCTTTTCGACTGGCTTTTGGACTTCCACCTCTGTATATCCTTTAGCATTCTGGAACTTGTTAGTTGTTACATCAACTAATAAATGTCTTTGACCAGCTTTATATGGCATGATTGTTAGAGGAATCTTTATGGTCTCGTTGGGTTTCACAGACCCGCCTCTAAAAAAACAAAACAACAAAAACATGATAATTAGTAGAAATTAACATTTAATTTACACATACACACAGTTCTACAGTATACCTGAGTACACGTACTACTGCTGGATCCTAGTGCTTATTGCTTGTATAAGAAATACTGTATATATGTTGCAGTATACTGTGATAGTTTTTTTAAGTGTGGGATTGCCTTGGAGTTATAGAGAAGTTAGATTAGATTTACACACATTTTCAGCTGCTCAGTCAAGTTACTAGGATTGAATCCCTAGGAGTAGCTTGAATAGCACTCTATGGAGCAATCTACATGTAGCGCCCTCCCAGGTAAGCTACTAGGTAACATTAGGTTTTAGCTCCTGCTGTAATCAGGGGAACAGTGATTGTTTGGTCTAGTCTCTTCAGGGCTTCACAGGCTAAGATATTGTTAGCTTCCCATGCCTCTAGAAGAAGGAAAATTCAAATGACCAGCCTGAATATTGAGCAAGGCCTTTCCAATCCCTGGGGAGGTGTGTCCAGATGGTGGCTGGGTGCTGTTAAATAGTCTGGAGCCCTGAGAAGATTGTATTTTTACACTCTGAGGGAATGGATCTGTGAGCTGAGAGAAGGGGTGGGCTGCTTGCCCCTGGAGCTCCTTTGGGCGGGATGCTGGACTTCGCTACAAGGGTCTTCACCTATAGACTGACCCTGTTCCAGGATTCTGTGAGTAGAGCCTCCTTTCTGTTCTCAAAACCTACTTCATGGTCCCCAGCCTTTAACCTATAGACTGTTCCAGTCCAGGGGCGGACTGACCATTTGGAAACTCGGGCAGTGCCTGAGGGCCTGGGGTCAGTAGGGGGCCCCATGAGATGCCCCTGGTACCTTTTTCATAGGCTTTTTTGAGTTTGGGCAAGGACACAGGGGCCCCATGATCCCCTATTGCCCGAGGGCCCCATGAGTTTTCAGTCTGCCCCTGTTCCAGTCTACCAGTATTTGCGCTACTGTTACTGTGAGAGAAGTGTCCTCTGCTATCAATACGCTAAGGGCTGCTTCACACCACAAAAACGTCCTCCAGATCAGTTCTATATGCATTTCTGCATGCACTTTTTTTAATGCTTTTTTGATGCTTATCCAATGTGTTTTAGCTGTGTTTCCGGAAGCATTACAGATACTTTTTTGTAGTCATTTAAATTGCAAAATCTATATTTTCATCAAGATGATGCTTTTCCTTTGCTTCTTTTTCACTGTACTGGGATCCGGTGCTTTTTTTGATATTTTTTTTTATGCTTTTTACTGCTTTCCAGTACAGTTCTATGAGGAAAAAAACAGCATGTTGCACTTTTTTTTCTGAAAATGAAAAGCACTGGAATGCACTGTGCCGATGTGAACTATGCCACTGGAACTCATAAAACCTACTTTACATGCTTTTTTGATGCAGAAAAAAAGTGCTGCTCTTCATGTGCTGTGAATGGGCCCTAAACATTTTTTAGTATCCCACATTACCCCAACCCCCCCGCCCCCCATTATAAGTTACAACCAAATAAACTTAAAAATACAGCCCCTAGGGTTCCTCCAGAGGTTACTATGGGTTCCTTGAGCAATGAGCAATTTCTGCCTCTCAGTTAAGTTCCCACTGACACCATTGACCTTTCTAGCTTTCTGTAACTTTCTAGCTTTCTGTACTTCTTTCCATTGACCACAAGTGTACGATGCATTCTTCCCGCTGATCAGCACTCTAATGTATCATGAGTTATAGATATATTCATTTTTAGTAGGGGTTCCCCGAGCCGGAAAGTTATTTCAAGGGTTCCTCTGTGTTGAAAAGGTTGAGAAAGACTGCCCTAGACTGTTCAATGAGCCAGAGTGAGTGCTGTGTGGATTGCTTTGAAAAAGAAGCTGCTAATCTACAGTAGCCCCTATGGGGCTAGCACTACACACAGTGTCATGAAGAAGTCCAAAGCTCCAGTGCTCAGATGAAGGTACTTCCCATAAAAAACCATTATTGTAATGCTTTATTCGATGCAGCCCTCCTCAGACCGGGCCATCTTCAAACAAACTGCAAAAATACAAATAGGAGGGTGCAGGCGCCTAGCGCATTACCACTGTGGACATTTATTAAATCCCAAAACAATTATGTACTCAAAAAGACATATAAAAACAGGCATGTAAGTCAATAACTCCAGCCATAGGTGACATCATCGGGCAGCACAGTGGCTAAATGGTTAGCACGTCCGCCTGGCAGTACTAGGGTTGTTGGTTCAAATCCCAGCCACTGCACCTCCTGCCTGGAGTTTGCATGTTCTCCCTGTGCCTGCGTGGGTGTACTCCGGTTTCCTCCCACACTCCAAAGACATGCTGGTAGGTTAATTGGATCCTGTCTAAATTGGCCCTTGTATATGAATGTGAGTTAGGGACCTTAGATTGTACGCCCCTTGAGGGTTAGGGACTGATGTGAATGTACAATATATATGTAAAGCGCTGCGTAAATTGACAGCACTATATAAGCACCTGAAATAAATAAATGTATGTACCACTCAGTTGGAATGCGTTTCGGCATTAAACCCACTCCATCTGAGCGAAGCCAACTGCATTTAACACCACAATTTAAATAATCACATATTGGAAGCACTTCTCCTTTACAAGTTCATAAGTGGGACTAGTGATGCCTAAACATGATACGCTCTCCACCATTAATCACACGAAGTCCATTATAATTACAACATATCAGGAACCCCAAAAGTAGAGACTTCTGCAATCTGAGTGTTGTGTATTAACTAACAGAATACAGTGACCAAGATATATAACTGTTTTTGGACTTAATAAATGTCTATGGCGGTAATGCGGTAGGCATTTGCTCCCTCCTTTGTGAATTTTTATACACACATGTCATGCATGAGCATCTTGTAGTGATCTTGAAGCATTATGCAATCATGCAGAACTGGTCACCTGTACATACTATTGCGTAACTTAATTCACAGATCATTAGTTCAGTCTGTTTAGTGATCAGACACTTGTTGTTGCAATTGTTAGTAATTTTAGTAGCATGACTGAGCTACTAAAATTTTCCTATGTAGCCCTAGCCAAGACACCAATGTTCAAAATGTTGAGGCACTTTGCTCCACTGATGCACACATCTGAGGGTCTATAGCTACTGGGTTGATCCAGGCAGCATCCAGGGGTCTAATTTTGCCTGGGAGACCCATGCTTGGATTACCCCTGGTATATTCTGTTATTAAACGTGAACTAAGGGCCACACCTTCAGAGTGGGAGCATATGCTCAGTACCTGGCACAGTTTCCATGCAAGGAATCTTGGATGTAGTAATCTGCTTTTAACTGGCATCAGCTTAGTTCTGAGACTAATGATGGCAATGATCTGCCATTTTTCCTTCCACTGACTGCCGTCATACTTCCTTACTCTTCTTGTGTACATACTGTCCGTGGTCATACTCCTCTGATGCACCTACTGCTCACCATATTCCCTGCACTCCTCTCCTGTACATAATGTCTGCTGTCATACCCTTTGCTCTGCACATACCCTCATACCTGTCATACCCTCTTCTGCACATACTGCTTGCTTTCATACCCTCCGCACCTCTCCCCTGTACATGCTGCTTGCAGTAATATCCTCCTCACTCTTCTGCTCTATTTAAAATCTGCATATACACTTGTTATTTATTATTTTATTACTTCACCAATATTTTGAATAAGGTAGGTCCATAGATTTTTTTCTTTTTTGGAAAATTCACAAGTATTTTATGACATTACTGCCACCTACTGACACAACTGTGCATTGAACCTGAAAGAAGAATAAGTGTGCTCCTGTATTTATTAACATAGCTTTTCTATGAGTACTAGAAGTGGATAGGCGGAGCGCACATATTCATTCATATGACTATTGTAGATGTCCTTTCTGAGACAAGACCCCTGAAAGGAACCTATTAAGGAAGTATTGGCATTGCCATTGCTCAGTGGTAGGAGAGAAAGCGGTGGGGGATTTGAAATCCCCGTTGCTTTCTTTTCTCTCCTTGCCATGATGACAGTTCAAGCTAGATGGCATCTGATTGGCCAGCACCGTCACATGGATCATCACACAATCAAAAGTTATCTAGCCTGAACTGTCATTGCTGCAAGGAGAGGAAAAAAAGCAGCGGGGATTTCAAATCTACACTGCTTTCTCTCCTCTCCTACAACTGAGATTCAGCATGGGATGCCTGCAGGGAGGTTTCCTGCACCGCTCCTGTGTGAAATCAGGCTTTAACAAGCCTAGGTTCACACAGAATCAGTGGTGAAACGGCATGAGATTTGGACATGAATCACAGGTTCGATAGAACCTGCATAAACGAGAACTTGAATGTCCTTTTCATTTTGTTGTTCCCTCTTCTGTAACTATCCCTGTTAAAAACTCAATAAAGAATCAGTGGTGAAACGGCATGAGATTTGGACAGGAATCACATTCCTGTTCAAATTGCATGCTATTCTTTGCGGTGCAATTTGTTGTCCATTAACGCAAATCGCGGCGTAAAGTACCGGTAATCGGTATTGGCGAGTACTTGACTGAAAGTATCAGTACTCGCAGTCGCCGATTAAAAAAAAATGGTATTGGCGAATGCCTACTGCAATCCACATTCCAATCTAACCGACATGCTTCAGTACCAGGGGCGGACTGACAGCTCATGGGGCCCCTGGGCAATAGGGGACCATGGGGCCCCTGTGTCCTCACCCACACTCAAACCACACCCAAAAAAGCCTATGAAAGGTACCAGGGGCATCTCATGGGGCCCCCTACTGACCCGGGCCCTCGGGCAGTGCCCGAGTGCCCCAATGGTCAATCCGCCCCTTTCAGTACCCTTACTTTTATTTCAGCTGATGTTTTATTTCTTCTGATGCTGCTCAAGCCGGCACCAACTTTAGGGACTCCTCCTGATGCCATTCCCAACCTAATTTCCACCCTTCTACCCTTCTACTACATCAGCTTAGAAAACCCATTCGTGGTACAATATTTCAAAGTCTAATGAAAATATTGTGATAGAAATGCCAGGAAGGGAGGACTATGTTACTACGGCACATTGTGATGCACATCGACAGCACAGTCAGTATCAGTCAGCATGTCGTCAATGCTGCACATGTGTGAGTGATGTAATTATGCAGAGAGCAGGACAAAATCTCCTAAACGGTTAATCTCCAAAAGTATTTATAGGAACCTACATGTAATTCTTATATTAAAGTTTTAAATGGAGCTAAGTAAAGAAATAGAGTTTACTTTAAAAAAAGATTGTGCCATCGGATTGTAACAATTATGGTTAGCTGTAGTTATAAAAAAAAAGCAAGCAGAAAGGTAAAGCTGTAACCATATAAGGATTAGGAAAAAATAAGAAATGGAAAAGATTTAACTTACTTGACTGTGATCGGATCATGAAGAAGACCGCTGCCTTCTGCTGTCACCACTATATCAGATACAACTTGGTTCAGGGGGTTGGTGAATACTACTACAGCCTTAGCAGGCTTATTCATTTGGATTGGTCCTTTCACCTGAAATAAAAAGTTGATCCAATGTTGACACTGCCAAACATTTCGATGGAACCTGCATAAACGAGAACTTGAATGTCCTTTTCATTTTGTTGTTCCCCCCTCTGTAACTATCCCTGTTAAAAACTCAATAAAGAACATTTGAATAAAAAAAAAAAAAAAGTTGATCCAAATAACTGTTATCAGGCTAAAAGTGGAATAACATGGAACTGAGCTACAAAAGCAAAGATTTACTATGTTACAGGGAACATCTAGAAGTGTTACTTGTGCCTTAACAGTATCCTTAAAATTCCTTTAACAAAATAACAGTTCAGTTCCTGGTATGTGCAGTGGGAGATTTAAGGCACTACTTCCTCTGACCTAAAGTCTCATGAGCTTTGAAGTGAATTTTGGTGATGTCACTTCTGTGCTGCTCACTGTTCTCTTTGCTGGAAGTTCTGACATGAGGAAGTAAAACCCTGTCTCTACCAAGATGGCCTCCTCCACACAGAGACACAATGCAGAACAAGACAGGGTAAGTCAGTAATGGGGAAAAGATCAGCTGCAGAGAGACCACAGGCAATACCTGTGACTAGTCCTTTGCCTTCTGTCTTCCTTTTATTTTTTGGGCACAGCTTCCAGAGAGCTGTTCCTTTTTAAAGAGAACTTGTGTGATAGAAATGCTGGAGCTGTCATTAATTCCTTTTTAAGGGACTGTGATCCTATACCCGGCTGCATTAATTTGTGGAATCAATTCACTTAAGAAGTAGAGAATGTTCACTCACTTTGTATGTTAAATACATGTACTTACCTTTCTGAGAGCCCATTTGTTGATATGTCATCTTGCTTTTCCCCAGCTGCTGCAAGTATTACACACTTCTGGGTGTGAGGAATACCTGCTCCTCTATACAAGTTGTGGTAAGCTGTGGTTTCTCCCAATGGTTGCCCCCAAGACTTACATGATCCTATATTCTATAGCCAGATGGCAACAAGAGGCTGAGTAAAGGTACAGCAAGAATACTTCTGAAATAGGAAGATACAAATGTCCACAGAGGATGGTGAGGACAGGTGCCTCGGCTGGAGAGTAGTCAGAAGGACGCAGCAAGAAATTGGTCTAGGCAACAGGCAGAGAACTTGCAAAATGTCGGTCCAAGTAGCAGACAGAGGTGTGGTCAGTAAACTGGAAAGAAGTCAATCCAGGCAGCAGACAGAGATGTAGTCAGTAAACTGGAAAGAAGTCAATCCAGGCAGCAGACAGAGATGTAGTTGGTAAACTGGCAAGAGGTCAATCCAGGCAGCAAACAGAGATGTGGTCAGTAAACTGTCAAGACTTCAATCCAGGCAGCAGACAGAGATGTAGTCGGTAAACTGGCAAGAGGTCAATCCAGGTAGCAAACAGAGATATGGTCAGTAAACTGGCAAGACTTCAATCCATGCAGCAGAAAGAGGAAGTAGTCAAAAAACCGGCAGGGAGTAGCAGGCAAAATCATGGTCAAATTACAAGCAAAAAATAGTACATGGGCAGATCAGATACAGACAAAGGCAACTAGCAATCATGTTGGAAAACCAATTAAAAGTGCTGTCCATAGGGCTTGTGGCATTTAAACTGGATGCCATTAGTCAGAGGACCAATAGTAAGCAAGGAAAAAGAAAAAGGCTGTGACCATGTAGCCAGGCAACATCCTGAAACCAGATGCCACAGTTGATGGGGGATAAAAAGAAGAGGCATCGGGAAAGTGACAGAACGCTGATCAGCAAAGATGGTAGGACCAGCAGTGATGCAATAGGAAGTATGATACACAGCAACAATATAGGAGATGCCCAAGTTGCCAGTTGAGTACTGGGGAGAAGCAAAGAGGTGTTATATCAATAAATAGTCAAAGGTTAGTAAATTCCCTCTTTTATTACAAGTATGTTTGACCAAAAAGGTAACCTTGTGCAGATAGGGTCACTTAAAAAAATGACATGAACCTATGTTCACTTCAGTAATCCAGTCCATGTGTGTTTATTTTCCTTGTATATGACTAGGTATCCAAAGTGAATTTAACTCCATTTTATTCATTAAGTTTAGTGAACATTCTCTTCTTTAAAGTGTGGCCAAAGCGCTTCCCCTAAATAAATCTTTAGTTATCACTAGAGGGATCATTGGCAGGAGAAAGGAGGTCCTGATTCTCCTATATAGATCTTCAGTTATCACTAGTTGGATCACCCGCAGGAGGATGGAGGTCCAGGTTTCCCTCTATAGATCTTTAGTAAGCCCTCATTTAGAATAATGTGTCCAGTTTTAGAGACCTTACTTATAAAAAAATAAGATAAAAATGAGCCTAAAGATGGGCAACAAAAATGGTGAAAGGTCAAGTGATAATACATATCAGGAGAGACTGCAGGAACCTAGAATGTGCAGTGTTGAGGAAAGCATAAAAAGAAGGACATAGCTGAAACATTTAACTGTGTAAATTGGATTAGTCAACAGTTGGCTTTCAAGTGGAAGCTTCCACAGACCCCAGGTACGTTCGTGCCCCCACCCTAGGACCTACATGACAAGTGTCAGTCACCAAGTAGAGGGGAGGGACCAAGCAAACTTCTGTTTCAAAGTAAAATTGCTATCACATGGGAGCTTTTGGCTCCCTATGCGATAGCAATAAAGTTAAACTTTAAAAAATTGAAAAGCAGAAGCAAAGTTCAAAACTAACCTGAAAAAGTATTTTTTTTTTTTACCAAACGAGTGGTTGATGCTTGGAACAGACTTCTGGCAGAGGTAGTGAGTCAGTCAATAGTAAGTGCATTTAAACATGTTTGGGACAAATATACTGTAGATCTATACTGTATCTACAGATAAAAAAAAGTTACAAACATTTTTTTAAATAATGTCCACTTTATTGCTCCTTTATGAGCAATAAACTAATTTCCGATTGAGCTGACATTATGGGAGTCTTAAATGTAAGGAAGATTTGTCTTTCCTGATATTTGTTGTATTATTATACCTTAATTTCAAATTTTGGATTATCCAGGACAACGTTGGTTTGGATTATGAGTGTCCCTTCAACTGGTTCATACGAGTAGACAACTGTCACCTCTATGGTATTATCTGCAGTTAAGAGGCCATCATACTGGGCGTAGGTTATGGTCAATGGTTCTTCTTTCTCTGAGTAAGCAAGAGAAACATTAAGATTATTCAATAAAATGATGTTATAACTAATAAAGCAAAAATAAAGTACGTTAAAGGATAACTAAACCCAATAAAATTTTTTATATAGTTTCCAATCGTAAAATGTGATGGCTGCATTTTTCTTCTTTTTTTTATTCAAGGTAAGAACATTTTCTACAAACACAAATAATACCTGTTGATCTTGCAAGAAATGCAGTGTCCTTGTCACTTCCTGTTAATTGCACCAAAGAATATCTTCCTTCCTAGCTATCTTCTCTCAACTACCATTTGCCGTGCCCCCTATGTAATGAAGATGAAGAGATACTGACACCTTTGTAGTCCATCTCAGGTGAGGTGAGTAGCTAAGGTTGACAACCATGGCTCACTCCATAGATACAGTGGGGTATTATAGTAGCCACCCAGGTACAGAAATTGTTTTATTTACAGGATTGCCAGTTAAAAATAAAGCAGGAGAAGCTGGAAAAAAAAGAAAATGAATGCAGCCACCACACCAAGGACTAGAATGCAGTATATTTCATTTTTGGTTTTGAGTTTAGCTACATTTTAATGATCCATTTCCTATAGCATACATTATATTATATATATATTATTATATATAGATACATTGTTCATCCTATCTTTTCACTTTGCCTTCGGAGTAAACCTATCATGTGGAGGCAATATGTTGTAAAAAAGCAAGGTTGGGAAGACAGACCTCATCCTTTTTTTGCTTTTGAGTTTTAGTGTATTTTGAAAGTATGAATTTAAAGTGAACCTGGGGTCAGGATATGGACAGTCAAGTATTTAAATATTCTTAACAAGCAGTAAGCAGGTTTAAGCACAACACCTCACTGACCTATGTAGGGCGGCCAATAGGGGGTACCACCGGTCCTCCTGTAGGGCACCCGGACAGGGAGGGGATCAATGTGGCAGTACAGGAATGATACAGCTCTCTGTAGCAGCTGAAAGCTGGCGGGAGAAACCGGCTTTCAGCTGCTGGAGGGAGAGACACACAGGGCATAATTCTGTAATTAACCCCCAGGGTCGGCAATCATATGCAAATTGCCAGCGAAATGTAAATTGTGCGGGCATTTGTATTATGCTGCCCACCTAGAGGATGTAATCAACCTCTTCTACTCCCCAAGCATGGAAGCATGGTGCTGTTTTCACTGCATAACCTTATTTTAAACTCTGTGATGTCATCACTGGGTCTCTTTGCTTCTCTATGCATTGCAGGCAGATCATGGCTGGTAGGCGGGCCCAGCAGGGTGCTGTACATAGCTTCCTGAAAGCATCACAGCCCCCTGTCTCAGGACTCCCTGAACAGCCCATAGCCCTGATGCAAGCAGTGGGTTGGTTCTTTGGAGGAGTTATGCAAATATCAAAATGCATTGATGGAAGGTATCAGTCTGGAGGAGTGTGTTTTCCTAAACTTGCATGTGGTCTGCCCTAGGCTAACTCTGAAAGAACTAAAATCTAATGAGTGAAAGGGATGGGCTTGGGACAGTATGGCTGAGGCGGAAAGCGATAGATGATGCTGGATGTCCAGCCAGGACATGAGGCAGTCTCTATCTGACTTGCTGCAGCTTCCTTTATATACTGAAAAAGCTCACAGTATGCAGAGAAATCAGAAAAAGCTATTTTTGTACAGGAGAGGTGCCAACTGTGCAAGACTACTACTAAAACCAGAGTTCAGGTTTTGGCAGTTTTTTATTGATGTTTTTTATTTGATTTTTTTTCTTGCAATTATAATACAGTAATTATTTTTTGTAAATAAGCCAGGATCTGTCAGACTTATGTTTTTTTTAAATAAAAAAAGAAAATTCCTGTATGTTACCTTCACAACCTCGAAGTCGTATTTTCCTGGTCTCCTTGTGCAGTTCATTGATCTCCTTTTTTGTATACAGGATGGAACATACCTTGATGTCAGCAGTGATAACCTTGCACTTGGTTGTCAGGTTTCTGATCAATAGCTTAACAGTGACATCTTTGCCAATAGCTTGTACTCCAACCACTTTCACATGACCCGATATCTCTGCTTCAATGCAGGGAGATGTCTGAGTTATCATTTCTGCCATGATTACCTGTAACCCAAAAATTCAGAGATTTAAAAAAAAAAGGAATTTTGAATGACTGTGCTATAGTACAGGGGTATTGAATTAAAATTCAAGGAGGTCTGGTCACTAAAATCTTCTGGCCGAGATCTGAAAATAAATGCCCCCATTAGTGTTCCCCCTTAAATGAGGTTCCCCCTCCAGAGTAATTTGTTACATTGGGTGCCACCATCAGACTTCCCCATAAATCAGTTGCCACCGTCAGAGTACCCCACCTATTATATCAGGCGTTCCCATTAGAGCGCCCCCCCTTAGTTAATGTGTTCTCATCAGAGTGCCCCCATACATCAGGCATTCCCATCAGAGTGCCCCCTTACATCAGGCATTCCCATCAGAGTGCCTCCTTACATCAGGCACTCCCATCACAGTGCCCCCTTACATCAGTCATTCCCATCAGAGTGCCCCCTTACATCAGGCATTCCCATCAGAGTGCGCCCTTACATCAGGCATTCCCATCAGAGTGCCCCCTTACATCAAGAATTCCCATCAGTGTCCCCCTTACATCAGGCATTCCCATCAGAGTCCCCCTTACATCAGGCATTCCCATCAGAGTGCCCCTTTACATCAAGCATTCCCATCAGAGTCCCCCTTCCATCAGGCATTCCCATCAGAGTGTGCCGTTACATCAGGCATTCCCATCAGAGTGCCCCCTTACATCAGGCATTCCCATTAGAGTGCCTTCTTACATCAGGCATTCCCATCAGAGTGCGCCCTTACATCAGGTATTCCCATCAGAGTGTCCCCTTACATCAGGCATTCCCATCAGAGTGCGCCCTTACATCAGGTATTCCCATCAGAGTGCGCCCTTACATCAGGCATTCCCATCAGAGTGCCCCCTTACATCAGGCATTCCCATCAGAGTGTCCCCTTACATCAAGCATTCCCATCAGAGTCCCCCTTACATCAGGCATTCCCATCAGAGTGTCCCCTTACATCAAGCATTCCCATCAGAGTCCCCCTTACATCAGGCATTCCCATCAGAGTGCGCCCTTACATCAGGCATTCCCATCAGAGTCCCCCTTACATCAGGCATTCCCATCAGAGTGCCCCCCTTACATCAAGTATTCCCATCAGAGTGCCCCCCTTACATCAGACATTCCCATCAGAGTGCCCCCTTACATCAGGCATTCCTATCAGAGTGCCCCCTTACATCAGACATTCCCATCAGAGTGCGCCCTTACATCAGACATTCCCATCAGAGTGCGCCCTTACATCAGACATTCCCATCAGAGTGCGCCCTTACATCAGGCATTCCCATCAGAGTGCGCCCTTACATCAGGCATTCCCATCAGAGTGCCCCCTTACATCAGGCATTCCCATCAGAGTGCCCCCTTACATCAGACATTCCCATCAGAGTGCGCCCTTACATCAGACATTCCCATCAGAGTGCCCCCTTACATCAGGCATTCCCATCAGAGTGCCCCTTTACATCAGGCATTCCCATCAGAGTGCCCCCTTACATCAGGCATTCCCATCAGAGTGCCCCCTTACATCAGGCATTCCCATCAGAGTGCCCCCTTACATCAAGCATTCCCATCAGAGTGCGCCCTTACATCAGGCATTCCCATCAGAGTGCCCCCTTACATCAGGCATTCCCATCAGAGTGCCCCCTTACATCAGGTTTCTGTATCAGAAGAAGATATAGATTTTGGAATATTGTGGCGCCTATGTGACTGAATGTGCAAACAATAATATATTGTTGTTGTTTAGTTGTTTTCGTTTTTTGATGCACGGTTGTTGCAGCGCCTACCTATTCACGTATTCATTCTGCATCAAAAGGCCCCCTTACATTTGGTGTCTCCCATCAGTGTGCCCCCTTATATCAGTTGTCCCCATTAGAGTGCCCCATTATATAAGGTGCACTCTGATGAGCACATTTATATTAACTACTTCAATACCGGGCACTTATACCCCCTTCCTGCCCAGGCCAATTTTCAGGTTTCAGCGCTGTCACAATTTGAATAACAATTGCGTGGTCATTCAACACTGTACCCAAACAAAATTTTTATCATTTTGTTTACACAACCAGAACTTTACATTTTTGGTGGTATTTAATCACCACTGGGGTTTTTATTTTTTCCTAAATTAACAAAAAAGACCGAACATTTTGAAAAAAAAAACAAGTTTTTCTGTTTCTGTTATAAAAATTAAAAAAAAAATATTGTTCTTCATAAATTTAGGCCAGGATGTATTCTGCTACATTTCTTTGGTAAAAATAACCCAAATCAGTATTTATTATTTAGTCTGTAGGAAAGTTATAGAGTTCACAAACTATGGGATATATCTGGAAATTGATCAATCCTGAAGTACTGATAGTCATATCTAATTTCTTGAGGCCCAAAAATGTCAGAACTGATGTGGTGGTGATCAGAGACACTGACTGGTGACAGTACAAAAAAAAATTGATAATTTTTTTTCAGTTTTTATTTATTTTATTATTATTTTATATATGTTTTTTATGAAATTGTTTTCTCTTTTTTTTTACGATTTTCTTTTCATATTACACTATGACCAAAGTAGTATAATGCTACCATAGTAACATTGTACTACTTTGGGGAAGTGATCAGTATTTTTTTTTTTTTTACACAATATGATTGCTTTTATCAAAGAATTTCTTTGCTATAAGCAAACATTTAACTGAATAAAAATCAATTCATTCAGGTTTTTTTATTGTGATTAGCTGTGATTGGCCACGTCTAATCACATGACACAGATGGGCTGTGATTGGCCCAGTCTGTGCATGTGATCACTGTGACCAATCACAGCTAGTGACACAATTGTATACAAAGGATGGCATGAAAGGAAGCCATCCATTGTATACAACTGTCATGTGACCTGCTGTGATTGGTCACAGCATGTCATATGGTATTGGTAACGGGACAGTACACAGATCTGTCATCGGCCGTGTCCGAGGTACACAGCTAGTGACAGATCTTGCTACAGTGTGGCCCTGCAGGCATGCGCAAGGCGCAATCCGGGAAGGACATCATATGCTGCCCACCCGGATCGACAAGAGTCCCACCCGGCCGTCATTTCCCTATTGGCCAGGCGGGAAGTAGTTAAGGGGCACTCTGATGGGCACATTTTATGTTATTAAGGGGCACTCTGATGGGTACATTTTATTTTAAGGGGCACTCTGATGGGCACATTTTATTTTAAGGAGCACTCTGATGGGCACATTTTATTTTAAGGGGCACTCTGAAGGGCACATTTTATTTTAAGGGGCACTCTGATGGGCACATTTTATTTTAAGGGGCACTCTGATGGGCACATTCTATGTTGTGCTCATCGGACTGTCCCTTAACATAAAATGTGCCCATCAGCATTACTCTTTAACATTAACTGTACCAATCATAGTACCCCTTAATATAAATGTGCCCATCAGAGTGCTCCAGAAAGAACACACCCTACCTTGAGAGTAGACAGGAGCGGGAAGCAGGAGCTTGCCGGGGTCCTTGCTGAAGGGGGCGGGGCATGCACTTGTGGACAGGCAGGGAGCCGGGAGAAACAGTGAGCTGCAAGGGGTGGGGTGCACACGTAATGTCATGTTGCAGGAACGACCGCCCCCTGATGAGCGGCGGATCTGTCATTCTAGTTTGGCAGGCTAGCGGGAGTGCTGCTATAGTGTTTGGTAAGAACATAGGGATACCTTTGTTACTTGGTTAACCAGATTGTACTGCCAAGTATGCACCTGTGTAAGCTATTTGACATGATCTCATCCTTCATTGGTCTGTTGTATCTGCTTTCTTGCAATAAATAGTTTAAAAAAAAGATATTTAAGCTTTAGTTCACCTTTACCAGAAACGTGCCTAAGCAGGTAATTGGTGTCTGTGGATAATAACAAACTGTGTCTCTCTGAGTAAAGTTGAATATTCAGGGGTGGACTGACCATTTGGAAACTCAGGCATTTCCCGAGGGCCTGGGGTCAGTAGGGGGCCCCATGAGATGCCCCTGGTACCTTTTTCATAGGCTTTTTTGAGTTTGGGCAAGGACACAGGGGCCCCATGATCCCCTATTGCCCGGGGGCCCCATGAGTTGTCAGTCTGCCCGTGGTGTAGGCCATTTATGTACCTCTTGAAGCCTGACTGGAATACCACCAGGACGTAGCTAACTTAGGTCTAGTCATTACTGCTCACCTCCACCATCACAGGATTGAGCTCTTTCTCTGAATCAAAATCCCTCTTTCTCTCCCCTGATGCAGCAGCTCAGCGTCTGAGAGCTCACTCCTGTGATGGTGGAGGTGAACAGTAATGACTAGGCCTCACCTAGCAACGTCCTGGGAGTATTCCATTCAGGCTTCAGAAGGTATGTAAATGACCTACACCTATAGCAAGGGCATTATTCAATTTAGGCAGAACTGCGCATTTTGTTTCTATCTACACCCCTTATCTGCAAAGGCAGCTTTTTGGTAAAGGGGAACTATCCCTTTAAAAACCTAATATTCTACCATATAAAAACCCAATAACTAAAATCTCATAAAAAGTTTTAACATATTAATGCAAACTCAAATATAATTAAAGATATTTTAAATATGCAGTTTGTAGACAGACACATATGCGATGTGGCTTTCAAGTGGTATACCATCCTAGCGGCTAGTTAGCCACTGAATTGCTTTTACAGGTGGCGAAAGGGGTTACCCCTCCTGTTAGTGCCTCTCCAGGTTCTCTGTCCCACCGGAAAACCTGGAACTGAAGCTTCGAAGACTGGAAGGTCCTTGATGAGCTCTATGGTATAGGAAACCAGATGCAACAAGCATTTTCATCACTTCCAGTTTCCCTGAGCAGAGGCGACATCAGGGGTCTAATAGACCCCAGTACTCTCCATAAAGAGTACCTGGCACTGCCTACTGTTGTCACAAGGGATGTTTACATTGACGACACTGACTCTGGTTTTTTAAGCACTGATAATGTCACTGGCTTGTGATACTTCTAGAAAGAACTGTCTCACTTTGGTCAAAGTGTTAT